AGAGGACAGAGACTCAGAACGAGCGCCATCAGCGGCTGCTCCGCTCCAGCCCTGACCGTGATGGTGCTGTTTACCTGTAATCCGAATACTCGGGAGGCAGAGGCAGGTTTGCCAGTCTGAGGCTAGCCTGGGCTACATAGTGAGGCCATCTCAAAAAATAAAAACAAAACCTTTCAGCATATTCAGGCACCAACATGAAGGTTTCATCTTGTTTTGGGTTTCTTCATTTTAGTTTATCTTAGAAAGATAGAGTACTTGGATATTATACAATTTTTTTTTTTTCTGAGAATGGCTGGATACATTTACTCAATACTCTTGGTCTCTCCACCACTACACACACACACACACACACACACACACACACACACACCGCCTTCCCTACTGGGCTCTCAGAACCTAATTTTTCACATTTAGAAAACCCAGATGATTTTTGCCTGGGTCCATCTAGTTTTCCAAATAACCTGTCTTTTTGATAAATAACGTAAGTTAAATTAGACAAGACAAAGAAAAGGGTGAGCAATCAGCTTTTTCCCCCTTCTCTCGGCCTCTGAGAAAAAGAGGGAGCAGAAAAGCCCACAGCAAAGTTCACTCCCAACCAGGCCCCAGAACTTTCGAGCCTTTGGTCGGGGCCCTGTGCTTCTGCAACCTGGAGCTGGGAGCTGCTCTGTCTCACACACACACACACACACACACACACACACACACACACACCGCCCAGCAGACATAAAAAACACCACATGCCGTGTTTCATCTGAACGTTAGCAAAGAACCCAAGTGTTCAACCCCAAAGCGTCCTCTAATCACCCTTAGGCTGTAGCTATTCCAACTCCCTCTTCTCATTACGTACCCACCACAGGGAAGAGTGAAATCAATACACTGAAAATGAAAAACCTTTAAGGTGAGAGAAGACGGGACGGGAAGAGGGGACGGGAAGGGCATGGATAAAACCTAAAGCACTACAGCCAAGGGACAGAGAGGTCTGGTGACTTGTTCTCAGAAGGCAACCATCTGAGGTTGACACAAGCTTGTACACAAAGCCAAGCCTCTTTCCCTAGTTCACTTTGAGAGTGTTGGCAATACCCAGAGGCCTCCACTCCTACACCTGTCAAGTCTCAGTATAGCCCTGATTGCCATTGGCTGCTGCAACAGCCCCATGGGCTGGGAGACTGTGGGAGCTTCGCGGAGGAGCAGTCTTAGTGTCCCCAGGCATCAGCTCCATCCCTTCCTGAGCAGGATGCTGGACATGCAGCATTGAATACGTATGATCATGCCACATTCTACGGTACCTTCAGTCCAACCATAGCCCGGTGAGCCGAACAAAGTTAGTCTACATAGGCATTCTCCTCCAGTTAAGGGGAAAAGTTCAGAGAACGACTTATCACACACTACTTGTACGCTACAGACAGAACAAGGTCCCACAGTCATCTCTACTACCCCATCCCACGTTAGAAAGCTTTGCAAGCCACCGGGCATGGTGGCTCCAAGGGATTTACACCCTCTTTTGGCCTTCTTAGGCACCTGTACATATATGCCACACACACACACCCCACATGCAAATAAAAATAATAAAACATTGCACAAAAATAAAATTTTTAAAAATACTTCTTTTTGAGACAGGGTCTCACACTGCAGCCCTGGCTGGCCTGGAACTCACTTTGTAGACCAGGCTGGCCTCGAACTCACAGAGATCTGTCCACCTCTGCCTCCTGAGTGCTGGAATTAAAAGCATGCGCCACCACAACTGACCAAAGAGTACTTTTAAGAAGTGTTGCTAGCAATTCAGCTCTAAGCTTTTTTTCCCAAGTCTCTCAACATCTACTTCTCAAAAGTTATTAATTAAATAATTTTATGCGCCAGGCATAATGCTACCCCCAAAACAAAAATAGAGACAGTCTGTTTTCAAGGGATTTATTATCGTCATTGCTAAAACAGACCCAAACACAAGGTGACAAATGGCGATAGGAGACCCCAGAGAGCAGGGAGCATGACATAGAACATTCAGCCCTTCTAGTGACAGTGGTCAGGGCTGTGTCTGAGGAAGGTGAAGGTAGAAAAAGTGTTTTGAGGATTATATATTAGCCAAAGAGGGAGTTTGGAGGCGAAGGCAAGCCAGGAGATTGAAGGGGGCTTCAGAAGGCCCCCGAGGCTGAATGTACGAGAAGGGAGCGTAGATGGAGGCCGGGAAGCAGGGTTTTCTCACGCAGAGCCTGCTGGGCCCTGAGGAGTGTGATAGGAGACATGGAAGAGTTTGTTTGATTAGATTTAAAAAAAAAAAATTTATAGATTCATTTGTGTGTATACACACACACACACACACACACATATATATATATATTTCATTCATTCATTTATGAATATGTATCACCTGAGTACCTGGGAATTACAGAAGGTTGTAAGCCACTGTGTGGGTGCTGGGAATCAAACCCAAGCCCTCTGCAAGAACAAGTGCTATTTACTTGGAAGCCATCTCTCTGGCCTCTAATTTTTTTTTTTTTTTTTGTCTGTTTGGGAGACACAGCATTTTATTATTATAGACCCGGCAGGCCTGAACTATGTCAATGAGGCTAATCACTAACTTGTGGCAATCCTCCTGCCTCTGCCAACTAAGTGAGTTTGTTTCTTTCTTTCTTTCAGACAGTTTTTCTATACAACAGTTCTGGCTGTCCTGGAACTTGCTTTGTAGACCAGGCTGGCCTTGAACTCACAGAAATCTGTTTGCCCTTGCCTCTTGAGAGCTTCACCACCAGGCTGAGAAGTTTGTTTTTGGGATTGAACCCCGAGTCTTGTGCCTGCTAAGCAAATACTCTGCCAGGGAACAGCCCATCCCCATGGGAAGGTGTGATGTCAGGCAGTGCGTCCTCCACACAGTATGCATATGTAAAGGTCACCTTCTGGCTGCTATGTAGATTGGATGAAAGGGAAGCAGAAACAGAAGTGGGGCCCTCAGGAGACTACTGCAGTACCCTCGAAAGAAACGGAAATCCGGAGCATAGACTGGCTACAGAGCTAGATAAGCGAGCCGATTCGAGATGCAGATAGGAAAGAACCTAAAGAAGGTCCTGGAAATGGACACGAACGCTCTTCATTTTTCCTACTTGAGGGATGGGGTACAGTGATAATTAATTTAAGATTTATTTTTTATTTTAAAGTTATGTGTGCGTGTGAGAGTTTGTGCAGGTGCCTTGGGAGACGAGAGAGGGAGTGAGTTCCCTGGAGCTGGAGATACAGGCAACTGTGAGTCACATGATATGGATACTGTATGGGATCCGGGACAGCCAGGAGTATGTAAAGAGACCCTGCCTCAAAAAAATAAACAACAACAAAAAAAGTAAATAAATAAAAGTAATCTCAAACGAGGGAGACGTTTGCAGTGAAGTTGAGGTGATGGGGGTGCTGTGGAGATCTGAGAGACTCTCTGGAGACTTGGGAATAGGATTTGATACTTTATTGGAGGAGACGATACAGTTTATGCAACTGTGGACTGAAATAAATTAGACAAGACCGGAGATTAGTTTAAATGACTTCAATACCACACACGCCTACTCACAAGGAATGAGGAAGAGACGGAAGGGCCGACACTGACATCCAGTATCTCTCAGACTTAGGCTCTCATTCCTCCTGACATGAAATTTAGAAGATGGTGGAACTGAGTTCTACTGGAGTTAAAAGGACAGACCTTGGACAGATGGTATAGGGCCAGGCTGAAACTCCTTAATCTGATCCTGTCAAAAAGGTGAAAGCATGGGGCTGGTGAGGTGGCTCAGAGGATGAGAACGGGCTGAGTTTAATTTCCAGCAACCACATGGTGGCTCACAACCATCTATGAGATCTGGTGCCCTCTTTTGGTCTGCAGGCATACATGCAAGCAGAACACTGTCTACATAATAAATCTTAAAAAAAAAAAAAAAAAAAGTGGAAGAGGCCAGAAAGCATGCCTTTAATACCAGTACTTGGGAGGCAGAGGCAGGTACAATCTGTGATTTTGAGGCCAGGCTGGTCTACAGAATGAGGTCCAGGATAGCCAAGTATACACACAGAGAAACCCTGTCTCAACCTGCAAAAAATCCGACCTCCTGCAAAGAAGAATACACTCTTGGGGCTAGCAAAATGGCTCAGCAGGTAAAAGCACTTGCTGTCAAACTGGAGGACCCGAGTTTAATCCCCAGGACCCATAAGGTGGAAGGAGAAAACCAACCCTTGCAAACATACACACAAGTATAAATAAATGAAATGTAGGAAGATTTAAAAAAAAAAAAAAAAAGAATGTATTTCCCCAGAAACTCAAGGAAAAGTAATTTATTTCTCAGGCACTGAATTTCCTATATTTAGTAGCCAGTCCTTCTTTTCATTTCTCCTAAAAAAAGAGCATGTGGGGAGGTTAGAATACTTGCTTGATCTAGGCAAGACCTTCAGTTTAATCCCAAATAATTTACCACTCCAATAGGGCATGTGGAAAAGCAAAAAGGGAGGAAACCGGAGCCTCCCTTCTTGGCTTTTGCTTAAGGGGTAAGGAGAAGTCTGCTTTAGGTGCAGAACACTCAAAGAGAGTGGCAATAAGCTTGACCTTGGGCCAGAGCAACACTGAAGTACACACAAAGGCAGCTAAAGAGAAAGTGCCATGTAGCGAGCGGCATGAGTCACACCTGATGGAGATGTATAACCAACTCCTGAGATGGCTAAGACCTGACTTATGCCTGATCACACAATGATCATCAGCTGCCTGCATATGCGTGGGCCTATGGGCAGTGCCCACCTGGCAGTTCGGGGTTGGCAGCCCATGCCTACTTAAGGGCTGGGAGAGGATTTGCCCAGAGAGAGAGAGGTCAAATGAAAGAGAGAGAGAAGGAGAGGAAGGAGAGAGAGGGGAAGAGAGAGAGAAAGTGAAAAAAGTCCTGGAATAAACTGCAGCAAGAAGAGCTCCGGGTGTTGCGTTTTTCCTTGCTGGACGAGGTGGGACGTGACAGTGCCACTCAGAGGATGGGGCAAGTATTAGAGCGGAAGCTCTCCCCCGACCAGCACTGCATTCAGACCACTCCAGAGGGATGGAGGGCAGCGAAGGGCAAAGGCAGCACACTGTTATTCTGGACATAGAATTTCCTGGGAGTGAAACATCCTGAAGATCAAATACTGTCTGAGCTTGGGCACTGACTGACCTAGGAATGAGCACTCTCGCTGGACAGCAAACCCTGCCCTCAGGGCAATGAGATTTATTGAAAACCTACATACATATTAAAACAGCTTTATACACACTCTCCCATTACAAGATTACAAATATACAAATGTGTGTTCTGTAAAAGTCAGCATCCTGAGTATTAGAAAACAAAAAACCCTAGCAATGAAAAGAAAACCTACATCTTAATTTCATCAATTAAATTGGCTGTTTTATGTCTCTCAATAAAAGACAGACACAATCTCCCCCACCTTCCCATGCTCAGCTTTCGATACTGGAATGGCTTTTGCAAAGCAGCACTGAGTTCAATCCTGAGGGGGACAATTGGTCTATACTTCTGGAAGCCCAGTGGCAGGTCACAGAAGGTGAGTGACGGCAGTTCTCTTCAATGTTTTATTAAAGTCCACAGGTCTGCTCTCAATATTAGGGATGAACTATTAAAACGCTCTCTGACTGGTGAGGGCAACATACTCAGCCCAAGAGATGCAATAAATAGCGGTCAGGTTTCTTCTTGTTGGCAGAGGAGAGGCTCACAAACAAGTGCTTTGAGCCTCTAGTCCCAGGGAAGGTCTGTCTTCCACAGACTACCCAGTGTGGGTGGACACCGGGTATAACCTTCATCTTCCTCCCACGCTCCAGAAAGTGAACTCGGTACCAGCTCACGTCCTTCTGTCAAAGGTAGTAAAGGTTAATTAGACATCAAGGCTAGACGCTTGCAGGAAACACAGAAGGAGCAAGACTGATGATGCACCAGCCGGCTGGGCGGTTCCCAGGTCCTCCATCTAAGTCACTCGCACTGAGTCCTGGTTACCATGCTACGGGTCGCGTGGGTGTGGAGGAGTCATCCCAGTACTGGCTTGCAGTGCTTTCTGTAATTTTCTATAATGCCACACTTTCTTCCTCCTCCAAACACCTCAATTCAAAGTGGTGTTGACCCAGGAAACTGCTAAGAAAAATGTCAAGTGCGGAACAGAAGAACTGAGACTTCAATTATTCTGTAAGTCGCTGCTGGAAACTGTAGTGATAAGAATAGTGGCCGAACTGGAAAATAACACCAGGAAAGAAAACTGCTATCGAGAGCCGTGGCAGGAAGAACTGGAAACTCTGCCCACAATGCATCCAAGGGAAGGAGAGAGGTCATTGGCGCAAACGTCAGTCCCACATTGGGGGCCAGACCTACTTGGAGCAATTTTAGCAGATGCTGGCATCCTGAATAGTGTTAGCTTTCCAAGTATCTGAAGATGCTTCGCTTTGGGCCTGGACTGCTATTATCTGTCTTTAGCCGTTTTGGGGACGGTGACATCATTAATGATGGCCCCTTTCTTCTCACCTAGAGAGAAAACAGAGGGAGTCAGGGCCAGCTCAAGACTCATACAAGTATACAAGTGCCTACCTTCAGTGAGTTTTTTAATAACTCAGTTAAACCATAGATGATTGAAAAAAAAACCCACAAGAAATAGAAACTTTGAAGGCAAATTTAAAACCTGGTTGCCTATTGGAGTAGCAATTCACCTATACATTCTTTTTCTTTTTTGAGACAGGGTTTCTGTGTAGTCTTGGCTACCCTGGAACTCGAACTCACAGAGCTTTCCCTGCCTCTGCCTTCTGAGTGCTGGGATTAAAGGCATGTGCTACCATAGTCTAGCAAATCAGATCCCTCCCGCCCCCAAGACAGGATTTCTTTGTGTAGACCTGGTTGTCCTGGAAATCACTATGTAGACCAGATGGCCTCAAATCCAGAGATCACCTGCCTCTGCCTCCCGAGTGCTGTCCCCTATGTATTCTTGAGAGGTGTAAAATTCTAACACTATAGCAAACTGTTAGATCAGAATTTTTTGTTTCATTTTATTTTACTTTTTTTGGGTGTGATATATGCATGAGGGTGTGCCGTGCGTGCATGTGGAGGCCAGAGGATGCTGCGTCTCCCTCTACTGTTCTTTGCCACGTGCCTTTAAGATAGCCTGTCTCTGAACAGAAAGTTCCACCTTCTCTGCCCTGTGTTAGGGCTGCAGAATCACACAGCCATACAGCCATGCCTGGCATTCTATATGGTGCTAGAATTCAGATTCAGGCCCTCGGGCTTGCACAGCAAGTACTCTTACCCACTAAACCATCTCTCTCTCTCTCTCCCTCCCTCCCTCCCTCCCTCCCTCCCTCCCTCCCTCTTTCTCTTTTCTTTCTTCCTCTTTCTCTTCTCTCTCTCAACATACACACACACACACACACACGTTTTTTAAAATTAAATCAAACAAATCTGAGGCTGGAGAGATGGCTCAGTGGTTAAGATATTTGCTCCTCTTGCAGAGGATCAGACTCCATTCCCACATGGCAACTTGCAGCTGTAATTCCAGTTTCAGAGGATCAGGTGCCCTCTTCTGGCCTCCCCAGGTAACAGACACACACAGAGTACATACATGTAGATGCAGGTAAAATACAAACAAATCTTAAAAACAAAAACAAACAATCAAATAAACCCCAAATTCCCACAAATAAGCGCTATTTGGGGAGTACCACATCAGCTCCCAAATTCTCTACCTGAGGCTTAGACGATGCCTTTGCTGCCTCTGCCTTGGTGGGAGAAAGTGTATGGAAGACAAAGTTTCTTGAGTTTCGGGGAGCGCTGGGGTTGAGGTCAGACAGGGTAGCAAGTTTCTGAAGCACAGTCTTGGGCTGGTTCAGCAAGGAACCCGTCTTCAGCTGAGGAAAGAAGAGTTACCTGATACCAAACTGCAGATACTGAAGCAGCCCTTCGACCTCCCTCTGTGAATGACACAACACACTATCATCTACAGACCATGACGTCAGAACAACAGGGTCCCCACTAACCTGGTGAGCACTTCCTGGTCTGATGGTTTCAAAAGGGTTACTGGGCACAGACTTTGATTCCTGAACAACCACAGCACGATTGGCTGGAAAGAAAACACAGAAAGAAGTGTTCTGGGCGGGGCTGGGTAGAATTCCTTCTATATTCAAAGAAGCTAAGAAGACTTAAGAGCTGACTAAGAACTCTTATTATATTCATGACCTTAAAACTATAGCAAGAGTTGCTAAGGAGACAATGAAGTCAAGATTATCAATTAATCATTAACAAGGACTAATTTAAGGGGAAAAAAGCAGTTGGTATAAGAGCCCACTTATGAACACCTATGTTCAACCCCAGCTCTAACCCTTGAGCCTATAAATCCTGGGCAGTTCAAAGAGAAGCTACAATGCACCAGCCAAGCCTCAAAACATGAAGCAAACAAGCTACACAAGCCTAAGGACAACTCTGCTGGCCAACAGCTCAGGAGCCAACCTCAGCCTCTCCTTACCTCCACGGCCCCTTTAAGACAGTATTATAGAAATGTTTATATTAGCTGCCATAGTCCCTGAAGGCTAGAATCTCCTCCTGGGCTCCAGCACTGACAACCCAAGCAGCTAGACCTAAGAAGAAGCAAGAGCTCACCATTCTTCTGCAGCGCTTTGGCTGTAACTTTCTTGGCTAGTATCATAAACTGACTGTCTTCCCCAATGTCCTCTTCTTCAGCAGCAATCTTCCCCTGTTGAACCTGAATACGAAGATCATACAGGATCAGCCAGGTGTGGTGGTACATGCCTATAATCCCAGCACTTGGGAAGCTGAGGCAGGAGGATTACCATGAGGTTGAGGCCAGTCTGGGATACACAATGAGTTCCAGACCAGTCTGTTTTCAAAACAAACTCATGAAACATTTGATGATGATTACAGTTTCCCTAAATAGTCAATTTAAGGGAGCTGGAAAGATGGCTCAGTAGCTAAAAGCACTGGTAGCTCTTTCAGAGGATTTGGGTTCAATTCCAAGCACCCACAGGTTAGCTCATAAATGCCTGTAGCTCTAGCTGCAGGGAGTGAGTCTACCAACACCCTCTTCTGGGCTCTGTTGGCACCAGGCACACATACTTGTAGGCAAAACACCCATACACATAAAATAATGATATATAATTAAAGGTCAGCACGGTGGCTCATTCCTTTAATCCCAGCACTCAGGAGGCAGAGGCATGTAGATTTCTGTGAATTCAAGAACAGCCTGATCTACATAGTGAGTTCCAGGACAGTCAGAGATACATAGTGAGACCCCTTCTCAAAAATAAATAAATAACAATAAAATGTTTAAAAATATAAAGAAAATAATTTAACATAGGCTGAGGTGTAAGTCAGGTTACTGAGAAATCAGTTTCCCTTTTTAGAATCTCTGCTACTTAGATCAAAAGATAAAAGGTCTGGAGAGATAGCAGAATGGTTAGGAGGGGCGGCTAAGTGGCTAAAAGCAGTGCAGCTCCTCCAGAAGACCCAGCTCAGCTCCCAGAACCCATGTAAATAGCTCAAAACTGCCTGCAACTCTAGCTCCAGGGGATCTGATGCCCTCTTCTGGCCTCCACAGACACTGTACTTACACGTACCTGCCCCACCCCACATACACATAATTTAAAAATTTTTATTTATTGTGAGACAAGGTCTCACTATGTACTTTTGGCTGGTCTGGAACTCACAGAGATCCACCTGCCTCTGCCATCTAAGTGTTGGTATATAACTGTGCAACACAGCTCTCAGTCCTAAAACACATATATTTTTTAATTGGACAGTTAGCCAGAGTTGACTATGGTAATCTTAACAGTGCAAAACCACAAAACAAAACAAAAACAACCCATGATTAAAGAAAGGATTAGGTTGTTGTTGCTTAAGTTTTCAGGGCAGGTGAAGTAGCTGAATCTTAGTCTCCTTAAACAAGATAGGCAATTTTCTTGGATGCTTTTTACCTGTTCCCGAAGCCACTGCTCTCGTTCGATTCGCTCCTTTCTCCACCTGGCTTCAGTCTCGTCAAGTTGCTCTTCAACCTGCTCGTCCTCAGAGTCTCTGTGGAACAGATCCATCTGGGAGGTGTCATCTAAAGGAAAGAGGTAATGCTCAGAGCGATCAGACAGACATAAAACAAGCCGATAGCTGCTGTACGCTGGCATAGATGTTACCCAGCCACAAAGAAAATCGATGGTTACAGCTATGGCGACGTTTTCTGTTTGTGTATTTTTTATCTCAGAAAGGGTTGCAAGTAGCCAGGTTGGCACTGAACTTGCTAAGGTACTAGAGTTGATCTTGACTCCTAATTGTACTCCCTCTACTCCCCAAATCCTGGGATTACAGGCATGCCATGCTTGGTTGACTCCTTCCTTCCTTCCTTCCTTCCTTCCTTCCTTCCTTCCTTCCTTCCTTCCTTCCTTCCTCCCTTCCTTCCTTCCTTCCTTCCTCCCTCCCTCCCTCCCTCCCTCCCTCCCTCCCTCCCTATTTTTTTTTTTTTTCCAAGACAGGGTTTTTCTGTGTAGCCCTGACTGTCTTGAAACACTCTGTCCACCAGGTTGGCCTCAAACTCAGAGAGCCGACTACCTCTGGTTCCTGAGCGCTAGGATTAAAGGTATGCACCACCACTGCCTGGTTGGTGCCCAATTGTTCTCTAATGCGGTGCTGGGGCTGGAACTCAGGACCTCCGTGTTCTGGGTAAGCATTCTACCGACTGCGCTATATCTCTAGCTGGTTACTTTTGATTGCCATTTACCAGCCTACAGGAAACAAACATGTACATTGGAACCAACTGTTTTTAAAGGACCACGATACCTATGTGTTTCCATCGGAATTTTCTCGTTCGTCCAGGCCCATCGCTGTGCAGATCTCCGTCAGCAAGGTACCTCTCTTGGTATAGCCGCAGCCGTCGCTTGTCATCATCCAACATGGTTTTCCTGTAACGGTGGAAACAAGGTGCTTAACACGACGACTTTTCCGCCTGACAAAACGCCCGCCGTGAGGTGCCCTAATGCTGAGAAGGGCTCTGGGACACTGACATGTGGATCTTCTTGATCTGACTCTCCAGCTCCTCATCAGAAGGAAGCGCTTCATCGATGACGTCTTCCTCATACTCGTCAATCTCTTCCCCATCATACTCATCTTCGCTTCCCGCATCACTTCCTGACACTTCCGCCTCATCTTCCAGGTATTTCTGTAATCTCCTAGAAAACAGTCGGAAAGATTAGAAATTAGACAATGGATACAGCAAGAAGAGCAGACAGTCACTATGAGTTATTCATGCTCTGATGGATAAGCCCCATGGGGGTGGCCCTCATTAAACCAGATGTGAGCAGAATGGGCTTGGTGGGGTAAGGGGGTGCGGTGATGGCTGTCAGGAGGCAGAGACGGTGAGGAGGTAGAGGAATGAATGTGAGCAGAATGCATTGTATACGTGTATGAAATAGCCAAAGGACTAATAAAAAGAAGAGCAGATTGTATAATCAACAATAGGCTTAAATTTATACATTTTGATAATATCGCAATACTTTCTCGATATTTAAGTGTTGGTCACTTAATTCATACCATGTACTAACAGCTGTACTTTATAGATACAATCACCCTATTATCTAGGAATGAGTAACCCTCACCTCTGCCACTGTATAGTTAAGAAAGAGAATATTTAAGACACAAGGAGACTAAAGCTGTATAACACTAAAGATGCCATTCGTTCTGGAAGGAACTGGAGACGTCTGTACAGAAATCATTTAAGGAGGCTCGGAGAGACCAAGCTGTTACTCAAGGTCCCACAAGCAGGTGGCACTCAGCCTAGCTTGGGCAATCCCACAGACAGAAACTTTTAAAATGTATTTTGTGTGTCTGCACGCAGAGGTCTGGGGACACCTCCTGGGAGTCAATCCTAGAGCCTTCCACCTTGTTGAGACAGGGTTTTTGTTTCAGCTGCTTCACTGTATACCCCAAGCTAGTTGGCCCACAAGCTCCCAGGTCATTCTGACTCTCTTAAAAAAACCAAGTAAGCAAACAAACAAGCCCTTTTAGAATTTGTTGATTGTTTTATATGTGTGAGTGTCTGTCTGTATGTCACAGGCTTGCAGTGCCTTAGAAGACCTTAGGGACCTGGAGTGACAGATGGTTGTGAGTCACCATATGGGTGCTAAGAATTGAACATGGGTCCTCTGGAAAAGCAGCCAGTCCTCTTACCACTGAGGCCCCTCTCCAGTTCCCCATTCTCCTGTCTTTTAGCAGTGGCTGTCTTGCTTGGCTCCTTCCTTGCAATATGTGGGTTCTGGGGATTGAACTCAGGCTTGCACAGCCACCAGTTTCACCCAGAGCCACCTCCCAGTCCCAGAAACAATCTTAGTATCTTCCTACACCTTTGGGAATACCTGTTGGAAGGTTCAAACTAATTTTTGTTTTGTATTTAAGCTCGTCAGTGCTTAGAGAACAGTATAGTACAGTAACATCATAGAGCAGGATTCCTTGTCGATTAAAACTACTATAGTTTGTCTTTTCTATTTCCATTTTTGGTGAGGTGCTGCATTTTGTCTACAGCCTTGCACATGCTGGGCAAGCATCCCACCTCTAAGCTACAGCCCGACTCTTACACTTCGAGACATTTCTAACAAGGGTGACTTTCACGTATCATCTTTCTACTCCAGCATCCAAGTAGCTGGAGTTACAGGCTTGCACCACCAGTCTGGCTTAGCAACCTTCCTAACTTCATTCTCTTTGAGAAGGAGGTAGCTATTGACCTTGGGTTCAAAGTCTTGTTATCTATAGTTATAAGAAGCAGAAATCTGGTGAGTCTGAAAGGTGACTTTTTTTTTTTTTTTTTTTTTTTTTTTTGAGATAGGGTCTGTTTACTTAGCCCTGGCTGTCCTGGAACTCACAGAGATGCTCTTGCCTCTGCCTCCTTTAAAGGTGTGCACCACCTCACCCAGCTTGAAAGATGACGTTTTAACCAAGTATTTGTATTGTCTTTCCCCTCTAAAAATCCTAGGCTTCCTGAGGAATTCCTTCAAGGGCCACTAGCCACCAGATTTCCCAGTCTTATGAGCAATGTTGCTGAGCAGTTCAGCCTTGGCTGCCATTCTTTACTGAATTTGACTCAAAGACCTCTGCAGTTAAATAAGGTTTAACAACCACGGCCTCTCAGGGGAAAAGATCTGTGGATAACCTAAAGCTGTATAAAAAAGTTAAGGCAACAGGTGACAAATTAGAACCCGCTGTATCTTAAGAGAATGGAACAATAGGCTGAAAGATCAGTGTAAATGAATAGAGATCAATATGATGTCCTGGTGTGGGGGCTCTCTTTCCCTCTCGGCCTGCTGGCCATCAGTCTAAGAGGGGAAAGAGGCAGAAGGGGCGATAAGGGCCCATGAGCACAGACAGAGCAAGGTCTCCAGGAGACAGACTTCGGTGAATCAGCTCAACTTTATAACAGAATGTAAGGAATATATAGGATTGGGGAGCCTGGGGACAAACCCTGATTTGCATTAAGTGGCACACTCCAGTAACAAGGCTTAGTATATGGCAGTAGGGTCCTATAGGAGAGCTCCTAGCACAAGTCTTTGCAGGGATCCGTGCCAAGGAGCAAGCTAAAGATGAACCAGACACAGACATCTGGTTTTAGAGACAGCTTTTAGATAAGGTCAGTCCTCCAGGCACAGGGACATCCTTCCGGTAAGGCTAGCTAGAGGGGCTGGAGAGATGGCTCAGAGGTTAAGAGCATTGCCTGCTCTTCCAAAGGTCCTGAGTTCAATTCCCAGCAACCACATGGTGGCTCACAACCATCTGTAATGAGGTCTGGTGCCCTCTTCTGGCCTGCAGGCATACACACAGACAGAATATTGTATACATAATAAAAAAATAAATAAATATATATATATATAAAAAGCTGGCTAGAGAGCAGAAAGCTTCGCTGGGAGGGAGTTTCCATATTGCCGAGCTTAGAGAAAGCTGCCAGGCCATGGCACACTGCAACCTCTACCAGCCAACAAAAAATTCCAACATCCTGGATATGAATCCAAAAATCATGCACATGCTATACATTACCAAATATTTATTAGAATTATGTTTGTGAAAGTTCTTTAAAATCATAAAATACTATAGTGGCACAGCTGGGCACTTGGGAGTCAGAGGCAGCTCGGTCTCTGAGTTTAAGGGCATCCTGGTCTATCTGGTCTATAGAATGAGTTCTAGGATAGCCCAGGCAACATGGAGAAATTATTATTATTATTTTGTTTTTTGTTTTTCGAGACAGGGTTTCTCTGTGGCTTTGGAGCCTGTCCTGGAACTAGCTCTGTAGACCAGGCTGGTCTCGAATCCTCCTGCCTCTGCCTCCCGAGTCCTGGGATTAAAGGCGTGTGCCACCACCGCCCAGAGACATGGAGAAATTCGGTCTCAAAAAAAAAAAACAACACTCTTCACCCCAAAAAACTATGGATATGCAACAAGTAAGAAAAGTCCAGATGTAAAATTAAGCACATAGGGAACTTACTCAAATATTAATTGTGCAAGAACATTTGCAAAAAAAGTTATGAAGAAATTATTATCAACATTTGCATACATTCTGGCCAATCGATATGAATAACTGCCTTACTTTTTCTGTTCCTTCCTCTTCCCGCTCCTTCCCTTCATGTTGATGGTACTGGGGATAAACCCAGTCGTGTGCATATCAGGCAGTGCTCTACTGTTGAGCTGCATTTCCAACCCATCTGGTTGTCCATCTGTAAGTTTGTAGGTACATCCGAGGTGTATGTGGTGTTGGGGATCAAGCTCTGGGCCTCATTCACACAAGGCAAGCACTCTACCAAGTGAGCTATATTCCCAACCCATATATTTTGTTTGTTTGTTTGTTTGTTTGTTTGTTTTTAAGATGGGGTTTCACTGTGTAGCTCTGACTGTCCTGGAACTCCCTCTGTAGATCAGGCTGGCCTACAGAGATCCACCTACCTCTGCCACCTGAGTGTTTGGATTAAAGACATGTGCCACCATGTCTGGCTTTCATACAATTTTTTTGAATACTCTAAAATGTATAACTTTCATGACCAGAGTGACAAATACTTTAAAAATAAAAACTTAAACAGGCCATTTGTGCAAGATGATAATCAAGAAAATGAGGAATGACAGCAATTCACAGGAGCAAAGTTCTGGGCAATGTCAGTCGGGTATAGGAAGCGATTCGGCTCTTGTAATCTTGGATTACATGATAAAAGTACTCATCCAGCCAACAGGCAGACCACACCTGAGCAGAAAGAGGACATCCAGGACATCCAGGACAGAAGCGCAGAAGCAATGCTACTGAGGGTGTCATTAGGTCTGGAGGAATCAAGGTATTTAGTATAGATGTGATTTAAGGACTCAAGAAGTAGCCATGGGAGAATTTTTTTAAAATAAATTTTCAATTTTTTAATGATTTATTTAACTTTATTTTATGTGCATTGGTGTGAAGGTGTCAGATCTCATGGAACTGCATTTTCAGACAGTTGTGAGCTGCCATGTGGGTGCTGGGAATTGAACCCGGGTCCTCTGGAAGAGCAGTCAGTGCTCTTAACCGCTGAGCCATCTCTCCAGCCCCATGGGAGAATTTTTTAAAACTATTATTTTGAGTGCCATGGCACAGGTGTGGAGGTCAGAGGACAACTTTCGGGAGTTGGCTTCCTCCTTTCCCTGTGGGATCTAGAGACTGAACTTAGACAGGGTGTACAGGAAGCACCTTTACCTGCCGAGTCATCCGTTTGCCTAGAGTCCACGAAGGGTTTGTGTAATTTATGTGAACCACAAAAAAGCAGAAACCAAACCAGCAATTTTATATAAAAAGGTAGCAAGCTATACCTCAATTTAGAACTGTCTAGAAGCTGAAGGAATAGACAGAACACCTACATTTGCCTTTTCATCTTCTCAGATTGCTTTAGGAGCTCTTCCTCATCATCCTCCAGGGCCTCATCATCCTGGTCCAGGGCCAGCTCTTCATCACCGGAGTCACTGTGTTCATCCTGCAAAGTTACAATATCACACGCAGAGTTGCACACAATAAAAACATGGATCACAAGAAGTAAATGCTGTCCTGCTGTGAGCATATAAAAAAGTTTGCGTGCTCTTTGTCCTGTTCTTAAATTCATTTATTTTGTAGACAGGGTCTTATTTATATATATAAATATATATATTATTAATATTATATATATATGTAATCCCAAGTGCTGGGATTACAAGCACGTGGTCCTGGGTTTAAGTTCCAGTACCTAGAGACAAAAGCAAAAAGGAACAAGAGGATTTGTGAAGTTCTGTCCCCATCCTCATCTTAGGACATTGCTTCTAGTAAGACACTAAACTCAAATTCTCAAGATCTGATGATGTGAGAATCCAAGGGAAGCAGCGTATGGAGCTTGGCTGTGTTCCCGCCACACTCACTCACCTCATCACTAGCAAATCCATCTTCCTTTGAAACAAGCTGAAAGTCTCCAAATTCCTCCTCTCCACCCTCTTCCTCCCTAGAAGACAAGTCACTGAGTTACTAGAGCAAACTACAAGCAGTGAGCTAAGTGAGGGATTTAAGACATTTAACAATACCAGCAATTTCCTTAAGAAACAGAAAACAAGAGCCGGGCGGTGGTGGCGCATGCCTTTAATCCCAGCACTTGTGAGGCAGAGGCAGGCGGATCTCCGTGAGTTCGAGACCAGCCTGGTCTACAGAGCTAGTTCCAGGACAGGCTCCAAAGCCACAGAGAAACCCTGTCTCGAAAAAAACAAAACAAAACAAAACAAAAAACAAAACAGAAAACAAGATAGTTTGCCTTCTGCAATTACAGCCTCATAGGGCAGAGATAGGGAGGCCCGGGATGGGCTGAATAGAAAGCCCAGTCATAGGCAGGCATAGTGGTACATGCCTTTAATCTCAGCACTTGAGGAGCTCTGTGAGTTTGAGGCTAGCCTGGTCTACAGTGTCAGTTTCAGGATATCCAGAGCTATATAGTGAGACTAGGTCTCAAAAAAAAATACAGTTCATTATTAAGTTATTAAGTATATTCATACTAGTTGGTATGGTGGCACCCATCTTTAATCCCAACATTGGGAAGTCAGAAGCAGGCAGATCTCTGTGCATTTGAGGCTAGCCTGGTCTATACAGTGAATTCCAGGCCAGTCAGGGATAGACAGTGAGCCCCTATCTCAAAACAAAACTAAACAAAAAAAAAGTATGTTGATACTTTTAGCAGTCTCCAAAGTCAAGTGGCTACTAAACACTCTAAATCTGTTAGACATATCTTCATCCTCTCTTCCCAGTCACCATCAAATCTACTTCCTGTCTACATAAAACTGCCTATTCCAAAGATTACAGAAGCGGACTTAGACAGTATCTATCCTTTATGACAAATATTTGCTTCTAGCATAAAACCTTCATGGTTCCTCCATGTTGAGGCATGTGTGTCAGAATTTCCTTCCTGTTGGGCTGGGTGTGGTGGTATACACTTGGAAGAGGAGACAAAAGGATCACCAGTTTTAGGTCAGCCTGAACTAACAGTGAACTCCAGGCCAGAGTAGGGAAAACCTACTCTCAGATGACAAAACCAGGTTTCGTCCTTTTAAAGCCATTTAATGTGTATACACTGTATTTAGCAGATGTGCTGGCTAGTTCTTATGTCAACTTGACACAGCTACAATCGCCAGGGAGGAGGGAGCCTCAAATTAGAAACTGCCTCCATCAGATAGAGCGGTATGCAAACCTGTAGGGCATTTTTAAAATGAATATTCAATGGGGCTCAGGGGTATTGAGAGAGCAGGCTGAGCAAGCCATGGGGAACAAGCCAATAAGAAGCACTCCTCCATGGTCTCTACGTCAGCTCCAGCCTCCAGGTTCCTGCCCTGACTTCCTTGCTGATGAAGAGTGATGTGGAAGTGTAAGCCAAATAAACCCATTCCTCCCCTGTTTGCTCTTTGTCATGGTGTTGTATCACAGGAATCACCTTAACTATGATAGCAGACCACTGCATTCCCTCTTCATTTTGGCTACTATCAAATAATGTTAAACACAAACTATAAAAGTCTGTTTTATTTATTTATTTATTTATGAGAAAGAAGTTCATGTAGCTGAATTTGGCCTTTATACATTTGTTGATTTATTTAATATGTATACATGCACTAGCATGTGCATCTCTAACTGCATGCATGCCATTGCCTGCATATAAAGGTCAGAGGTCAACTTGTGGGAGTCAGTTCTCTCCTTTTACCATGTTAGACATCAGGGATTGAACCCAGGTCTTTAGGCTTCAAGCCAAGTACCATTACCCACTGAGCCATTTACTTGGTCCTAAACTTCTGAGTCTCTTGCCCCTATTTCCTGAATACTGGAATCCAGGCATAAACTATACCAGGCTTTCTGGTTTTGAGGGGTGGGTCTATCCCATGTCACTCACTTGGCCTGGAGCTCTCTACATAGCTGAAGATGCCCTACCCGCTTCAGCATCTGAGTGCTAGAGTCATAGGTGCATACCACATCTGCCCACTTCAGTTTTTGCTTTTAAGTCTGTGTGTCTGTCTCTTTTGAGATAGAATTTCAATATATAGGCTAGGCTGCCTCAGTCTTCCCAGTGCTGATATTATAGGCTATCACATCTACCATTTAGACTTTTTTCTGAACCTAAGTGGAGTTGCTGGATCAGATGTAATTCTATTATCAATTTTGAAAAACCATACTGTTTTTTTCTAGCAGCTCATCAATGGTAAACAGAGATTTTCATTATCTTCACCAATACTTAGTTGTTTATATAAAACTGTAGTCATTCTAATGGATGTGAGGCAATATCTCTGGTTTGCCTTTCCCAAAATTATTTAGTTTATTGCTAAACCCAGGCAATTGGATCCTAGGCTTTTATCTTCCCAAGTTCCCACCAATCTTTGAGACTCACCTGTCTGTTGGGAAAGAGCCTGAGCAAAGAGCAAGTGCCTCTTCCATAGGATCATCCACGCTGCTCTCCTTCTCCTGCTTGCTCAGCTCCAGTGGAGCCATAGAGGAGGCATCTACCTCAACAAGAAAAGCTCAGTGAGAAGGAGATGACACCTTTACTCTCCCTGGCCATCTAAAACCCGGCCAGCTCAATTCAGTTCTTAGGAAAAATGTAGAAAAGTTCACCATCCACTCTTTCACAAATCATCATACTTACTATGTGCCAAGCCCCAGGAACAGCAATGAACAAAACAAACACCCAACTACCTCACAGAGTCTGTGTCCTATTCCAGCATGCAGCGTTTACTGTGTACCAGATGAGGTTTTAGGTATACAGGTTAACTTTAAGTTATATATTATGTGGCTGAAGCTAACATTCCTCAGTTGACACCGTCATTCTAAGAAAGCAGGAGCTGTAAAGCGGAGGAACTAAGGATTCTATTGCATGCCTGTTTTCTGTGCGCTCACCTCGAAGGCAGGGTCACCGTGGGAATCTGGGTACTTTCACTGAATATTTACCTTGAGAAGGAAATTTGCCCGAGCAAAGATTCAGAAGTTCCTCCATGTTTTCCTTTTTGTCAGTTTTCCTAGGTTGACATTTCTCTTCAGACTGAGAAGTAAACTGCCCAGTACACAAATCCAGCAGCTCATCCATGTTGGCATCCATGGCATTCTCATCCATACTGGCCAGTGGCAACTGAGGCTTCAGAGCTTGATATCGATTCCGGTGATTCCTAATGTTTAAAAATCTACAAGCACAATGAAGTGTGAGACATTGCCCTGAGAAGGGACAAAACTACAGGTAAAAGCTGTCTGATTTCTAACACCAAGGTTAGAAGTTGAATACGGCTAGCAAGATGGCTGTGTGGGTAAAGGTGCCTGCTGCCAAGTCTGATGAACTGAGTTCAATCCCCAGGATCCACACGGTGGAAGGAACCAACTCCAGCAAGAGTCCTATGATCCTCTCATGTGTACTATGGTACATGTATGCTCATATGCACACAAGATAAATGAAATGTAACTTTGAAAAAATTATATTAAAAAAACAAAACAAAAAGAAGCTGATGTGAATCATGAATTTCAACTTGATGGGGTTCAGAATCACCATGGAAACAAATCTGTCTTCAAAGGATCATCTAGACTAGGTTAACTGAGGTAGGAAGACCCACCCTAACTGTGGGTGGTACTATTCCATGCACTGGCGTCCTGGGCTGATTGAAAAAGAGAAAAGGAGCTGAAAGCAAGCATTTGTCACTGAAGGCAATGTGCCCCACGCCTTCTGCTCCTGCCGCCATGCCTGACCCATGTAACACATGGTGTCCATTGGAACCATAAGGCGCAATTACCCCTCCCTTCTTCAAGCTGTCTGCCAGGTTTGTCACAGAAATGAGAAAAGTAACCAGCACACTGAGCCTCAATCCAGAAAACAAAATCCAAACGTTAGCCTCATGCTAACCTCAGGAGGGCGGGGAGGCTTTGTCGAAAGGTGAGGCACAAAGGTTGGCTTCTAGGGATAGGCATTCTATCCCAATCCTACCCGACAATCAGAACACAGGGATGGACACATACAAGACCTATGTGTCTGAAACAAAATCAGAGGATTGGAATGTCAGCAAGAGGTTATTTACATTTTATTTTCTGGAGACTTCGTTCAAGCTTGTACAATGTAAAACTAGTGGTCGGCACACCTTCTCTTTCTCAGAAGAGAAAGCACAGATGGAGTGACAGAAGCTCATTTTATTTTTAAACAAAATTAAGCAGCATCCAGCCCCATTCCCACCCACAGAAACACAAAACTACCTACCCATCTGCATCCAACAGTTGGCTCTGAGTGTCATCTTCTAAACAGAACTGGAAGTCTCCTGCCCCTAGGAAAAGTGTCTTAGGCTCTGGGGAGGCGGTGTACAGATCCTGGGAATCCTCTATGGGAAGTGAAGGCTCAGACAGTTTTCCTGAACTCTGGCACCAAAACAAAAACAATAGCAAAACATTTTACAAATGCCATTCAGTGTCATGACAACAACAGAAGTTGCTACTTGCAATATGTCATCTGCTCTCAGGCAACTTCAGTTGAGGAGGACAATGCATGGTCGAAGGAGCCTAAGGAAAAATACCTCTAGGCAAGAAGCACGCTTGCTAATACACGAAGGAGGTGGATTTTACAGCTGAACACACAGAAGCTGAGTACCAAGGTGGTGGGAGTCGGTTGGCTGGGACGCACTTTATTTAGCAATGTGGGAAGTAAAAGGAGGAGGAGATTAGAAAAACTATCACCACCTTACCTTCGAAGCTGAGCTGATCAAACTGGCTCGAAACAGTCCAGGGGAAGGGGACCTGAATCCTCCTGCTGTAGGAAGAAAACTGGTCCCACGGCCTGTTTGTCTGTTGCAAGGCTGATAGGATGGAATTGTGGAGCCAATCAGCTCAAAGCTGCTATTGTGGCTGCTCTCCTTTGTTAGCAGTGAACACAAGTCATCTTCATCTAAAGGAGATTATATAGGAGAAAAATACCTTTTAAAGGTATGATTACAGCAACACGGTGCATTTGTTTAGGAAAAAGAGTTGAGAATCAAACAGGTAAAATTCACCCACAAACCCCTTAAGTTCTAGGCTGCAAATCATTCTGTTAAAGGTAAATTACTTTAATTTATTACAGTAGCATTGCATAATCAGGGCTCATTAACTCTGAGCTATGTGACAGCTAGAAGTTCTCTTCCTTCTCTTCCCCTGCCTAAGGCCTTCATCAATCTTTATTAGTCCATCAAATTACATTCATTTCTTTGATCTATGTATAGAAATATTTCATGTTTCACTCAATCAACAAATCAACATATGTCCAACTCAGGTCCTACCATATGTCCTTGGTCTACTATAAAATGTAACCCAGGGGTTGGAAAGATAGCCATCTTTCCAGTGAAGAGCACTACACTAGTTAAGGGCTCTACAGTTAAGAGCACTGGCTGCTCTTGCAGAAGACCTGGGTTCAGTTCTCAGCACCTACATGGCAGCTCACAACCATCTGTAACTTCATCTCCATGGGACCCGGTACCCTCTCTGACCTCTGGGAGCACCCGTCACACACATTCATGCAGGCAAAACATTAATACTCATAAAGTAAAATATAAGTCAATGTTAAAAAGACAAAAGTAACCCCAAAAATGGGCCATGAAGGACATTCCAGTTCCTGGAAATCCTTGTCACTGCAACATGTATGGATATGTGCTGTCACTCTTGGGAGGCAGAGGCAGGGGGATCCCTGTGAGTTTGAGGCCAGCCTGGTCTACAGAGTGAGTTCCAGGACAGCCAGGGCTATACAGAGAAACCTTGTCTCAAAATAATCCTTAACAACAACAACAACAAAGGAAGTTTCCTGAGATTATGGTCCTTATGTATCAGAACTAAAGAAAAATTATACTTAAGAACCACTACTTACCCAGTTTGTCAGACTGCTTGCCCAAGTGTTCATCAGTTTCTGATTTTTCTTCAGTAGGAAAGTAACTATAAAATAAAATAGTAAACTGTTTGAGTATCTGTTCTTACTTCTTACTCTTTTATAAGAAATTCAGAGTGGGCTGGAGAAACAGTTCCAAGGTTAAGAGTGTGCACTACTCTTTCAGAGGTCCCAAGATCAATTCCCAGAACCCACGTCAGGTAGTTCACAACCACCCGAAACTCCAGCTCCAGAGGATCTAATGGCCTCTTTTGGCTTCCTAAGGCACCTGCGCATACCCACACACAGACACAAACCTTTAAAAATATAAGCCTTTAGAAATCCAAGAGAATTTTGTATTTCCGTAGAATAACTTACCCTGTCTTGGAAGAGCTGTCCTTAAACAGAAGTAAGGTGGAGTCTGAGGAGAGAGGCTTGGGAACAGAGAGATCAACACACTTGCCAATTTCACTACTGCCATCTGTATTTTCTTTGTCTGTCTCCTTTTCATCTTTGGTTTCTGTATCTTCATTACCAAGAAGAAATTCTGTAGTCTATGCCATTTAAGAAAAAAAAAAAAACAACAATAATACAAGTCAAAAAATATAAAAGCAAATCCATTCTTAGCCTGAAATATAGATTCTTTGTTACAGGTCACATCAAGTCCAAAAAGGTGAACTTGAGACAAGTTCAGTCTCAGTGTCGTCAGCAATGTCTCCCCTGACAAACTTTTCACAGTTGTTTTTATTTTTTGATTCTGGGGGGCAGGTACCTTGGTTTTTTTTGAACAGGATCTCACTATGTAGGTCTGACTCCCTGACTAGTCTGAACTCACTCTGTAGATCAGGACAGCCTGGAACTCATAGAAATCCTTCTGCCTCTGCCTCCAGAGTGCTGGGATTAAAGGCGTGTACCATCATGCCTGGCTGAGCTCTTCACCCTCCCCAAACTGCTACAGAATTATGAAGGAAGACTGGATAAGCATCTTTCCAAAGCAGGAAGGGATTTATCAGTCTAGAGGAAGGGTGGCAGCTGATTACACTCAACCAGACTGAGAGGGACTGTCCAGCTCAGCCAGATGTGCTGTCCAGCTCAGCAAGACGCGCTGTCCAGCTCAGCCATATGTGCTATCCAGTCCAGCCACTACCTTCTTGTTCTTTACTCAGGGTTAAATACTAGCCATGCCTTTCAATAGATAAGAGAGTTCTTTCTATAAATAACAGCCATATAACCAATCAGTGACTCCCCTGGTTCAGAAAAGCTATTATGGAACAGGGCCAGAGTCTTGTCTATAAATGCCCTCTTTAACAAGGAGTGAGATTAACTTAGGAAGACCTCTTGCTTGAGAACTTATTCCAGACCTTAGCCTAAATAAAAACAATTGCTTTTCAATATCAAAGAGAAATGTAAAAGTCCTTATTAATAAGTTACTTTTCAATATTAGTCTATGTTAAAATACATAGGTAGAATACAGGTAGAAAAAACACACAGCTGTGAGCTACAAGTATTCAATATTGCCAACAGAACTGTATGCGTTGAGCTTTGAGCACATAAGGTAGATATTCTTTCCTCCTCTCTCCTTCCTTCCTTCCTTCCTTCCTTCCTTCCTTCCTTCCTTCCTTCCTCCCTCCCTCCCTCCCTCCCTCCCTCCCTCCCTCCCTCCCTCCTTCCCTTCCTTCTTTCCTTCCAAGATAGGGTTTCTCTATGTAGTTCTGGCTGTTCTGAAATTTGCTTTGTAGACCAGGCTAGCCTCAAACCCAGAGATTTTTCTGCTTCTGCCTCCTAACTGCCAGGATTAAAGGTGTGTGCCACCATCACAGGCACACGTGACACACATACACCCAGGCAAAATATGCATACACAATAAAAAAAATAACCTTTTTTGGGACTAGAGAGATGGCTCAGCACTTAAGAGCACCTTTTGCCTTCCAGAGAACTGTTTCAGTTCCCAGCACCAGCTAAAACCACTTGTAACTATAGTCCCAGAGGATCTAATATCCTATTCCAGCCTCCACAGGCACTGCAGGTAAAACATCCATACTCATAATAAATAAATCTTCTCCTATTCATCATGACCAAGTAACAAAATTAAATAATTGCCCCAAACCTCCTGAGTGTCTTGATCCTCCTCTTCTACCTCCTCTTCTCCATCTTCTTCAGACTCATCTGTCATTTCTTCTTCTTCCTCTTCCTCTTCAAATCCATCTTCATTATCTAATTGAAATAATGCTTGGCGCTTTTGCCGCTCCTCAAGCCTCCGGAGTTTCATTGCCTCCTGCAATTTAGCTTTTAGTACCTGCAGTTTTTCACCTGAACAACAACAACAACAAAAATTTTAGCATGCTTCAGATATGACTGACTACATAATACAATAAATAAACATGAAATTTATGTAACTCTATTTGTATTCTAGACACCCCAAAGGAAAACCAAAGACCTTACTACTCTAGGCTTTTACTTATTTTTGTTGTTGTTGTTGTTTTGTTTTTCAAGTCAGGGTTTGTGTAGCCTTGGCTGTCCTGGAACTAGCTCTGTAGACCAGGCTAGCCTTGAACTCACAAAAAACAACTAGCTCTGCTTCCAGAGTGCTGGGATTAAAGGCATGTGCCACCACCACCTGACTGGCTTTTACTTATTTTAACATGGGATAATACAGAAGAGAATGTCTGCACCCAGATAATGATAAATAACTGTTTAAAGGATAATGAGGAGGGAATGAGGCTTCAAAAGTCTCCAGCTCAAAGGGACAGGGATGTAGCTCAGCAGAGAAACATTTGACCAGCACCCAGGAGCTCTGGATTTGAGTCTCAGCGCTGGGAAAGTCTCTGGCTCAGAAGCCATGATGGAAAACAGTGACACACTTATTTATAAAAAGACCAGCAATTAAAAAGTAAGCCTGATAAAAGGGATAATTCTCCTGCCTCAGCCTCCCAAACGCTGGGGTGTGCACTTGTGTGCACTACCATGCCTGGCTTCTCTATACATTTTTCTATAGTATTTAATACTTTTTGTAAATAGGTAAGTGCTATTTAGAAAAAAATAAAGCTATCGTGCTCACCCCACATCTCTCATGGTGCCACGGTCTCCAAGGAAAAAGGGTCTGCAACTTTCTGCCATACAGCCTTCAATTATAAAGACAAATACCTGGTTTTGTGTGGCTTGCTTCATCCAGCTTCTCAGCTGCCAATGTCACGGGCACCACATCTGTCTTTAGCTCCTCCTTGCCGTCACTGCCCAAGTCCTTTACTATGATGTTCACATTCACCACCTGACGAGCCCTGGGAGTGGCTGCTGGATTAGCATGCCTCCAGAAACGCTGCTTCAGGGCTTCCAGTTCTTAATGCAAACAGGAACCAGTTTGTCAGTTTGTCCTGCTTATGCTCTTTCCTTGAATGATAAGCATCGAGGAAAATAACAGGGAAACTAAAACCCCCTTGCTACTAAGATCTGCATAAAATTCATACACTATAACCTATACCTGTTCTCGCTGTTTTAAAAACCAAACATTTTAAAGCAAATTTTTATCACACTTACCATAGTGTGTGTTTGTGTGCCATGGCACGTGTGGAGGTCAGAACAGTTATTAGAGTCAGTCCTTTCTTTCCATCTTGTGGGTTCCAGAGATCAAACTCAAGTCAATAGCTTGATGACACGTGCCTTTACTCTTTGCCTCTGCAGCCTCTGTTTCATTTTTAGTATCAAATTAGCCTTAATTTCAGCTATTAAAAAGCTTAATTTGGAGCCAGTTGTTGTGGTACATACCTTTAATTCCAGCACTTGGAATTAAAGAGTCAGGTGTATCTCTGAGTTCAAGGCCATCTTGGTCAACAGGCCAATTTCAGGCCAGCCAGGGCTACATAGTGAGCCTCTGTCTCAAAAAACACGAGTTTAATTTGGGGCTGGAGATGGCTCAGTGGTTAAGAGCACTAGCTGCTCTTGCAGAGTACCTGAGTTTGGTTCCCAGCACCCACATTGTGGCTAACAACTGCCTGTCACTCAAGTTCCAGGGAATCCAATGCCTTCTGACCTCCAAGGGCTTCTGCACACATACAGTGCACATTCATACATTCAGGCACATATACATAAAATGAAACAAATAAACAGTAACTCTTTAAAAAGTGGCAAGATTAGTTTTAAAAATATAAAAATAAAAAGCTTATTTTTTGTTGGATCTTATTAGTATTTTGTTTGTTTTTAGAGACAGGGTCTCATGTTGTCCATGCCTGTCTTGAACTCCTGATCCTGTTGCCTCTGCCATCTAAGTGCTGAGATGGTGTGCACCATCACACCCAGCTGATGATGAACCTTTTAAAAACATATATTTAGCTGGGCGGTGGTGGCGCACGCCTTCAATCCCAGCACTCGGGAGGCAGAGGCAGGCGGATCTCTGTGAGTTCGAGGCCAGCCTGGTCTACAAGAGCTAGTTCCAGGACAGGCTCCAAAAGCTACAGAGAAACCCTGTCTCGAAAAAAAACCAAAAAAACAAAAACAAAAAACATATATTTAAATCCCATGTTAGTAACAATATGGCTAGCGCCTAGATATGTTCTTTACTTTCTCTAAAGGAGGAGACAAAATCTTCTATTGTGCCTTTAACAATTATTAGCAGTAAAAAACCCAACTCTAAAAGATGTTATGTCTACTTACAGAGAAAAGAAGAATGAGAGAAACCCTAAGACTGCTTCCTATTTATAGTGGCTCGGTAACGTTGGAAGCAACAGGTGGTACCAGCAGAAAGGGAACAGAAATAGGCAGATCATTATTGATGCTAATAAAATAAAGCAGTTGAGTAGGAAGGTTTCACTAAGGCCCTAAAATAACAGAGAGGAAGCACCTTCATTCATAACTAGAGAAGGTGACGACGCAAAGCTCTTCGTCTTGGAATCAGGTGAAGCAAACACTTCCTTTGCCCTTCGATACACGGCTCAACTATGCCATCTTCTCCTCCACTCAGTCTTTTCCTAGTCTCTCTCATCTCTCGCCAGGTAGAAAACCTCTGCCCCAGCTCAAGTCTACACCAGTAGCTTCAGTCTACTGTTCTCATTTCCACTAACTAAAGCTAGATACTATTCCCTAGGCCTTCATAAAGAATAGGAATAGTGTATTTCCTTCATGATGAAATTTAAGTCTATATTCATTTTTCTCACGAAAATTAACTCTATGAGATAAAGAAAGTGAGATATTATCATTGTTTTCATTCTTGCTTATACTTTTTGAAATTTATTTAAAATTTTTAAATTGTGTGTGTGTTTATGTGCAAGTGACTACAGGTGCCCCTGGAGGCCCAGGGGCATCAGATCTCCTAGAACTGGCGTTCCAGATGGTTATAAGCTGCCAGACATGGGTGCTGGGACTGAACTTGGATCCTCTGCAAAAGCAGCACATTCTCTTTAACTTCCTTTTCTGTTTCTCAGGTTTTTGAACACAGGGTCTTGGCTAGGTAGCCTTGGCTGGTCTGGTACTTGCTACATAGCCCACGGTGGTCTTGAACTTTCAATAATTCTCCTGCTTTGGCCTTTTAAGTGCTAGGATTACAGGTACATGGTATCATGCCCAGATCCCTAATATTAATCTTTTTTTTTAAATTTATTTATTATGTATATAGTGTTCTTGGCACCAGATCTAATTATAGATGGGTGTGAGCCATCATGTGGTTGCTGGGAATTGAACTCAGGACCTTCAGAACAGCAGTCAGTTCTTTTAACCTCTGAGCCATCTCTCCAGCCCCCTAATATTAATCTTAAGCCCTTTCAAGGCATCAACTATACAAGTGATCAGCTTGAACCTCCTAAAATGAATAATTGAGTCATTTTTTCCTGCTTAAAAAAATAAAATTTTTCGACCAGGCTGGCCTCAAACTAACAGAGATCCACCTGCCTCTACCTCTAGAGTGCTGGGATTAAAGGTGTGGCTCCAAAGCTACAGAGAAACCCTGCCTCAAAAAAACCAAAATAAATAAACTTTTCAATGGTCCTTGATTAGAAAGGCTCAATCACAGCTCTGCCATGCCACAGGATCTAGCTATTGCCAATCCCCTGCAACCATCATACCCACTAGCCGGCACTTCCTGTGACACCACAGGATCTAGGCTGTTGCCAATCCCCTACAACCATCATACCCACTAGCCGGCCCTTCCTGTGACACCACAGGATCTAGGCTGTTGCCAATCCCCTACAACCATCACAACACCAGCCAGCACTCCCTGTGACATCTATTACCTGTGTTTTTCGCAGTTGTCTCTACCAAAAACGCTGTCTTTTCCCTCCCTGCCTTGGTATCTCCTCCTCAGTTTTCAGTACGCTGGTGGGTTTTTTGTTTTATTTCTTCTTTCAGAAAAGTGTCTGAATTTCTAACCCAAGTAAGTGCCATTGCTCTAGGGTTCCTATGCATCTTCTCTAGTGGCATATACTGACCACTTTATTTACCACCCAGTAAGGTAAAGAGTCTGTTTGCCTAAAGCCTATCTCTATTCAATTTTCATTTCCTCGAAAAGAGGGTTTGTGTCTTACTTGTACACATACTACCCAACAAAATGCTAAGTCGAAGTTTACTGCATGAATGTTGATACAAACTTCACGTCCAGAGTAGCATGAAAAAGACTGGTCTGGAGACAGCTTTCATATCAATTACGTAAACTTTTTTCGAGTCAGGGTCTCACGGTGTAGCTCTGATTGTCCTGGAACTCTCTAAGTAGACCAAGCTACTGACCTCAAGCTCAGAGATAAGCCTGCCTCTGCCTCCCAAATGTTGGGACTAAAGACATGTGCTATCATACCCAGCCAGACAAAATGCTGAATTAAAAGAAGGTGTCCATCATGTGGCAGGTATTATGCTAGGTTCTGCGTAAGCTAAATGTTATGCTGGAAAAATTGTACAACTCCTGAGCCTGTTTCTTCATTTTGCAAAATAATCTCCAGGGCTACAAGAATTAAGGAAGATAATAAAGAACATATTAGGATTTAATATAATAGGTTTTACTCCTGTATCTGAGCCCAGGACTACTTAGATAGTGCCTAGTGTAGTTTAGCATGTTCCTCGGTGCGGTGGGCAGCAGCTCCTTCTTGTCCCTCGCTAATGACTGTGCAGTTGTGTTTCATACCAACCCCAGCTAAGATCTCCAGTTCCAGTCAAATGCCCATCTTCTCCCATTTTCTATCATTTCCAAAATGTCCTTCTCAGGCACACTTACAGTGTACACCTGTAACTCTAGTACTTGGGAGGCAGAGGTAGAGGAATGCTGCCAAGTCTAAGGCCAGCTTGATTTACACTGTGAGTTCTAGAATAGCCAAGGTTACACAGTGAGACCCTGACTCAAAACAACACACACACAGACACACACACACACACACACACACACACACACATACACACACACTCCAGAGTACTCTTCTCTCTCCTCTCAAAGCCCATCTACCCAACAAAGTCACCAGGAATATTTTACAACAGACACATTGGCTGACATAGCACCTGCCAATGATAAGCTGCTAACTGAAACAGTCCTTTGTGTGTGTGTGTTTTCAAGACAAGGTTTCTCTGTGTAGCTTTGGAGCCTGTCCTGGAACTTGCTCTGTAGACCAGGCTGGCTTTGAATTCACAGAGATCCTCCTGCCTCTGCCTCCTAAGTGCTGGGATTAAAGATGTGTGCTACCACTGCCTGGCTGAAAGTCCCGATGTAAATAATTTTAGTTATCACTATTTGAATGCTTCTTTACTGTATTCATTTGAATCATTATTTTGATACACCTTCAGTATTCTATCACTCTGGAGCCATACAGTATAGTATATCTTTCTTTTCTTTTTTTCGAAGGTGGGTTAGAGAGAAGCCAGGCTTGATTGAGTGCTGGCACATACCAAATCCCAACACTTGTGAGGCAGAGGCAGGAGGACTGGGAATTCAAGGCTAGCCTGAACTACACAGAGAGATCCTGATTCAACAATAATTAAATATCCTAAACTCAGTTCAACAACTTGTAATATATTCTAAGGATAGGGAGTGACTCACCTAACATGCATGAAGCCCTAAATTTAATCCCTAGCATCCGTGAACCAGGCATGGCCTACAATCCCAACACTCAGAAAGTCAAGGTCACTCATGACTACACAGTGAGTTTGAGACTAGCCAGAGAAACACAAGACACAAGAATGTCTAGAGTCCTGGAACTGCAGTTATGAGTAGTTATGAACCACCAGATGTAGGTGCTGGGAACCAAACTCTCTCTGGTCCTCTGTAGAGCAACAAGTGCTCTTAACCAAGGCCTACAGTGAAAGGACCATTTACCTGGGTGTATGATAGAGTGCCTTGCTTATAAAACAGGACGCCTATGAGGTTACAAGTGACCTTGCTCTGTCAGCTCAGAAAGGGGTAAGGCATCTTATAAATGTAGCAAATAGTTTAGTATCTGCTGAATATGGGGTTTGGGGGAAGAAATTCAGTTTTGCAGACAATATAAGTAGATCAAAGTGTTTCTGGCTGTGAAAAATGAAATGTTTTTATGAATGATTTAATAAGATCTGACACAGGGTCAGAGAAAATTTTAGATGTTCAAATCAGAAACAAATTCCTAAATACCATAACCCAATAGCAATCTGCCTATTCTACATGTTAATTATCACAAGGCTTCCATCTGAAAAAAGCCTTAAAGATCACCCTGACATTCTGTCAGACTCATCTGAATAAGATTCTACTGCAATCCTTGGCTTCTCCCTCGTTCACCATTTTCCACACTAGCACAAGTTGCCAGTATGAACCACAGAGTCTCCCCAGTTTCAAGGGTTACCTCTATTCGTTTCAGGTTCATCAAGTATCACAAAGGAATCTTCATCAGCACCCAGCCGAGGCCGAATGGAGACATCCACTCCCAGTTGTCGAAGTCGGTCCACGGTGAATCTTCTCACCTTTTCAGGGGGTGCCACTGCTGACAATTTAGTCTTTTGTAATGTCTGTTCCTCTTTTGAATCTGTTTCTTCTGTTTTTTTCAGTTTTTCTCCCTCCAGGGCATGAGGGTCAGATGCTGTGAGTTCTCCAACCTGACATTCCTCATTGGCCTTGTTCCTGGAGATGGGGGATTCCTGCTGTGACGCTGATCTGTCCCCAGGAGAAGGTCTGTCTTCAATGTGCTTCTCGGGCTCCTCAATTTCCAGCTCTCCATGTCTTACCAGCTCCTCTGACCGAGCTTCATCTGACCCAGTGGTGATCTCAGCTTCTTCTGAGACCTCAGGTAAGACATTAGTACCCGTTGCGATTTCTGTACCTGGTGTCCGCTCAGTGCCTTTGCTGGGGTCATCAGCGGTCATCTCTGCTGCACCTGCTGTGGCTATGGTTTCCTTGTGATGGCTTGACTGATACTTACACGACCTAGTGTAAGGGGAAATGAGCTGGAATTGAAAATTCTCAAAACTCTCACTGTGAAACAGTCTCATCCCTCAACACAGAATGAATCATTAAAATCAGTTTTAAGGGACTATGGAGTCTGAACTTTTATACCAGATGCTACAAAACTGAATATTCACTTAGACAATAATCACAAGAAAAGCAGGTTCTTACTTCAGCAGGGCCATGGCATTTCCCTGGCAAGTGGGCCGAGGTTTACGTTTGAAGAAATCATGAATGGTTTTATTCTCAGGCATATGATATGGAAGATTAAGTGCAGATTCTAAAAAATTGGAACAAAACAAGGAAATACTCGTGTATATTTTGAAATGCCGCTTCATACTCAGTTAATCAAATAGTGTAACACAAAGTCATCATGAGAAACAAAGCAACCCTGCTTTACAAAGGGCAAGGGCAAACACAGATAATCTCCTTGGAGATCCCTGGCTTTTGTATTTGTTTTGTTACAGGGTCATGCTGTGTAACATGGGCTAGCCTGGAACCTGCCATAGAGTCCATGTTGATCTCAAATTTCCAGTCCTCCCAGCTTCAAACACCATAAGGGCCTTGGACCATAAGACAGGCAAAAGTCAACCAGAATGACTTTAACAAACACATATTCTAAGATTCCACTTCAAACCTATTTAATCAGAATCACTGTGGGGCCTAAAATTTTATAGATTTCAAAACTTCCTACAGGGACCCTGATGTAGTCAGCCCATAGACAACATTTAAAAGCTTCCCCTCTAGGGCTAGAGCACTAACGCTCTCACAGAGGATCCGAGTTCAGTTCCCAGAACCCATGCTGGACCAGCAGTTCACAACTGCCTATAACTGAGCTTCAGGGCTCCGACTTCCCCTGGCCTCTGCGGGCAATTACACTCACATGAATACAACCCACACACATATACATACATATACAAACAGCTTAAAATTTAAAAAATATATCTTAAAAACAAAGTTTCCCCTTAACTCTACCACAGTTCTGCAAATTTTCTTGCTTATATTAATGGTCCATGGGCATTGAAAACAATGGACATTTATCAAACTTAACTCTAGATTTCATATCACAATGTGAATTCATATCAGGAGTATCAGCAAACCAACTCCTCTACATCCACGTTGAGGTGACAAAAACAAACAAACCACAAAACCATGATTCAGCTCAAAGTTCACTGTACTGGTTTGTATTACCTCGGACAAGACGCTGGGTCTCACTGTGTAGCTTTTTTAATGCTTCCTTACTTAACTTTGCTGCCTTTCTTTCCTTTAAAAAAACAAAACAAAAGGTGAAACTACATTAATGGTGTTTTCCAGAAAGATATTTATCTCTGAAGAGTTTTTCTCTCCAAGAAAACAGGAAGAGAAGGAAGAAAGGGCACTAATAAACTCAGTACAAGAATAAAATGTATTTATTAGCAAATCTCAGAAAACAAATTTAGCCTAATGAATTTCTGCTCCTTCCATGTACAAAAAAAAATCTTGGAGGACGGAGAGATGACTCAGTGGGTAGGAGCACTTGCTGCTCTTGCAGAGGACCCATGTGGTAGCTCCAGTTCCAGGGGACCTGATACCCACTTATGGGCACCAGGCACTGCATGCATGTGGTATATACACACACATAATAAATAAATAAATCCTTTAAAAAGAAGTAAATAAGAAAGAAAGATCTTGGAGATGAAATAAGACAAAGATTTATCTATGAGAAATGCACACTCTCCTGTGGAAGAGATCAATACAATTACTGGTGGGGCTGTCTTACCTTCCTCCCACTGCCTTTAGTTAACTCATTTTCCTCTTCTAATGAAAACGCCTCACTCTCCAGAGATGGTTCCTTTTTCTAGAAGATTGCAAATTGATTAAAGAAAAAAACTAAACTCAGATAAAAAGATATTTTTCTCTTGTTGGTGAGAGGCATTGAACTGGGCAAGTGTTTTTCCACTGAGATACATCCCCAGTCCTCAAATTTTGTTTTGAGACAGGATCTCATTAAATTTCTTGGGCTGGCCTCGAACTTGCAATTCTCCTGCCTCCCAAGTAGCTGGGATAACACAACCAACAGGCTGGTGAAAGGATGTTTCTTACTACATCATACTACTTTACTCTTAAGTTAATAATTACCAGTTAGAAACTTTTCCTACTGTGCTTAGAAAACAGTTAGATACAATTGGAATCAGAATCTTAATTTTTTTATTCACTTATTTCCTAAGAAGGGAAATGATATCTAGGGAACTGAAAAAACAATGCCTCTTTTATGGGGACTGGAAATGTTAACCCGGCAGTTAAGAGCATTTATTCAGTTCCTAACACTTGTGTCATAGCCCACAGAGCCAAAGTGCAGAGGACCACGATTTGACTCCCAGTACCCACAAGGCAGCTCACAACCACCTGAAACTCATGCTCTAGGACATCCAATGCCCCCTTCTAGCTTCCTTGGGCATTGTATGCATGTGGTACATAGACATATATGCAAGCAAAAACCCACATACATAAAAACAAATCTTTTAGAAATTAAGTTAAAAAATGAAAGTTGCAACAGTAACTCAAACACAAAGCAAAGGTTTGAGGAGGTGGGCTAGGCTGGGGTGGCTCTTCACTTGCCTTGTGATTTTTCATTTTGTTCTTCACGGCTGCCCTTATCGACTCTAATGACTCTTCATCTTCCATTGGAGAGTCGTTCTCTTCTTCCAAACCTGTTTCAAAAAGATCACTGTCTTCAAGAAGACAGCCACTGTCATTAAGCGGCTGGTCTGCAACGCTTTCCTGGGTAATAAAGAGAAGGCACAACCTCGTCATTTTAAAGTCTAACATTTCACATCATGTGGCAATCTGAAACAGACAACAAACCCCACCGTTCATCAACAGACAAAATAGCGCACCTAGAACATTCTTAATGAGTCCTAACCTACAATTAGCCTTTGAAATCCAAGCTGTGATTTGTGTAACAGCTCTGGCTGCCCTAGAACTTCCTCTGTAGACCAGGCTGGCCTCAAACTCACAGAGATCCATCCGCCTGCCTCTGCTTGCAGAGTGCTGGAATTAAAGGTGTGTATCGCCTCCCGCTAACAAATGGAACTTTTGATTGATTCTGTGTTTTTCAAAAATCTTCCCTTTGAAGTCAGTTTCATCAGAGGAGCAGTAACAAAGAATTACTACAAGAACACACCAAGAAACCAGAAACCCATCTATACAGAAGTATCCTTCATGTATCCATAATGGCAAAGAAGATCAATAATTCTAAATTATAAAACCATTCCACCTTATGCAAAGCCGTCAATATAAAACTACAATTTGTGTACGGAAACAGTATTAGGAACTAAAACCTACATTTTAAAACATTAATCTACCTTAAAAAAATAAAACCTAATTATTCTTTAAAATGTACTTCAACAAACACAAACATGAAATATTCATACATACATAAGGGTATATTGTTCACACTTAAAAAATAAAATTCTGCCGGGCGGTGGTGGCGCAAGCCTTTAATCCCAGCACTCGGGAGGCAGAGGCAGGCGGATCTCTGTGAGTTCGAGACCAGCCTGGTCTACAAGAGCTAGTTCCAGGACAGGCTCCAAAACCACAGAGAAACCCTGTCTCGAAAAACAAAAATAAATAAATAAATAAATAAATAAATAAATAAATAAATAAGTAAATTCTGCTGGGTGGTGGCGGCGTTTGTCTTTAATCCTAGCACTTGGGAGGGAGAAGTCTCTGTGAGTTCGAGACCAGCCTGGTCTACAGAGTGAGTTCCAGAATAGCCAGGGCTGTTTCACAGAGAAACCCTGTCTCGAAATATGGAATTAAAAAAAAAAAAATGAAAGAAATTCTGTCATTTGCAGCAATGTTGATGGGACTCAGAGGACTGAGGAAGTTTGAATGTAATTGGCCACCGTAACCTCATAGGGAGTGGCACTACTAGAAAGGGTGGCTTTGCTGGAGGAAGTGTGTCACTGTAGGTGTAGGCTTTGAAGTTTCCTGTGCTCAGGATGCAGCCCAGTGTCACAGTCGACTTCCTGTTGCCTACAAGATGTAGCACTCCCAGCTGCCTCTCCAGCACCACGTCTGCCTGCTCCTCACCATGACAATGGACCGAACCTCTGAACTGTAAGCCAGCCACCTCAATTAAAAGGTTTTTTTCTCTAAGAGTTGTCGTGCTCATGGTATCTCTCACAGCAATAGAATCCCCAACTAAGACAAGGACATTATGTTAAACTAGAAAAAGAAAGAGCACATGTTCCCACTTATATGTGGATATTAAGAAGTTGATTTTGGGCTGGAAGACAGTTCAGCAGTTAAGAGCGCTTGCTGCTGTTAAAGAGGACCCAGATTCAGTTCCCAATACCCTTCTCTGGTGGCGTCCGGCTGACTTTAACTCCAGCTCCAGAGGATCTGACACCTCTGACCTCTACAGGCACCTGCACCATCCACATGGTGTACATGAACTTACACAGGCACAAACACATACACATTAAAAGAAAAAAAAAAGTGTGAGAATTAGAATGGCGGGGCCTTGGATGAATGGGTTGGTTATAGAGATAACCGTCAGTGGGTATAGGAGTGTGGATGAATAAGAATAACTCTCTTTTGTTAGTAATTTGTTTATTTTATGTGCATTGGTGTTTTGCTTGCACGTATGTGTGTGAGGGTGTCAGGTCCCCTAGAACTGGAGTTACACACAGTTCTGAGCAGCCGTGTGGGTGCTGGGAATTGACAGGGTCCTCTGGAAGAGCAGCCAGTGCTCTTAACTGCTGAGCCATCTCTCCAGCCCTCAAGAATAACTCTTAAGGCCCTACAACACAGTAAGATAACTATTGGTTGACAAGCATCAACTCAATATTTCAACATAACCAATGGACAGAATTTTTAATGTGCCCAACATAAAGAAAGGCCAGCTGCTTGAGGTGATGGGTTTGCCAGTTGTTCTGATCTGATCCTTACATGCTGCACACGTGCACTGAAATATCACAGAACCCCTAAGTATGTACAATTACATGTCCAGTAAAAATATATTTTAGAAGAACCTTGAATAAAGACTGCATTATAAAGTTCAGAAAAATGATTGCTGGGCTTGGTGGCACACGCCTTTAATCCCAGCGTTCAGGAGGCAGAGGCAGGCGGATCTCTGTGAGCCAAAGTCTAGCCTGGTCTACAGAGTGAGTTCCAGGATAGCCAGGGCTACATGGTGAGACCATCTCAAAATTAACAACAACGAAAAGGATTACAAAGTTCAGAAAATCATGACACACCTCATGTTTTGTCTCCTTCTTCTTCAGCCGCCGAATTTTTTCCACCATTCTCTCCTCTCTCTCGAGTCTTCTCTTGGATTTCAGTTTTGCTTTTCCTTCAGCTCCTTCTCTGGAGAGGTTTTTGGCTAGCTTTCTGTCAGGGGTGAGATCCGTGGGGCGTCCAGACTGGTGGTTCAGTTCTAAGGAAGGCGTCTCTGGAGTTCCAGGGCTCTCCTGACACACAGTTCCCTCCAGGTTACTCTCATCGCTGTCGGCCAGAGTCTTAGAGATGCTTTTGTGCTTCCTGCTCTCTCCCGAGTGCAAGTTCTCTTTATTCTCCGCGCTGCCATAGGTGGGCACCTCTGGAGCCACATCTGTGTCCTCAGCCTCCGAATCGCTGTCCTGCAGCACTTTCCTGCCCTTCGGTTTCTTACTCACAAATATCTCTTCGTCAGAATCTGGAGGGAAAAAAATTTTTTTTTTTTAAAAAGAAGATACCCAATCATTTGGCCTTCTTCCTAGCTACTGAAAATTATATTTAATTATACATGTGATATGTCACCTTGTGGAATTACACAACTACATTAAGAACTGGCTGTAGCAAAGCATATCTAAAAATACACTACAAGTCTTTTCCTGTGCCAAAACCTCTCTTGCTAAAAGTGTAATTATATGTACTTTATAATGTGTGAAGCTGTTCTAATCATCCTGGCAGGTGTTAGAAATCCTTTTTCTATAGTGAATGTGATTTAACCAGGCAATGTAGTAATTATTAGACATTTTATCTATTCAATTATATAACAGAAATGGATATTCCTTTAAAAAAAAATCTATGTGGGGCTGGAGAGATGGCTCAGTGGTTAAGAGCATTGCCTGCTCTTCCAAAGGTCCTGAGTTCAATTCCCAGCAACCACATGGTGGCTCACAACCATCTGTAATGAGGTCTGGTGCCCTCTTCTGGCCTGCAGGCATACACACAGACAGAATATTGTATACATAATAAATAAATAAATAAATAAATAAATAAATATTAAAAAAAAGATTTAAAAAAAATCTATGTAAGCACTGCTATTTTCTATCTGTAAAAAAGAAAATAAATAATAAAGTTGGGGCACTAACAATATAATAAGTCAATAAAATAATGGAATAAACTGTAACTGCTTACAACCCAGGATCCCACACTTTATTCCTAAGATTAATAGTAGGTATATTACAAACCTTTTTCACTCAGGGTCTCGAGTGTTTCAAAGCTGCCCTGTCCACTGTCTATGGGACTGTCTGCTGCTTCTTGTGAAGCGAATTTTAGATCACTGACTTCCAGGTTAACCTAGAAAATGAGAATAAACTTTGCGTTAACAAGGAGACCGCGCACCGAGAATGTGTGGATCCACAAAGCATGGGGTCATCCTGCTGCAACTGGAAAGAACCAACACAATGGTTTGATGAAGGGATGACATTTAGAATCACTGGCCAAAACAATAAACAAACAAAAACAGACATTAATTGCTACAGGATGCTAAGTGAACAACTCCTTTACTTTTAATTATTAAGCACACTAATTGCACCAATCAGATTCATTGTGTTGTTTCCTTTTTTAAATTGAAAAGACTATTTTATGTTTTCATCTGCATATGTCCGTGCACCATATCCATGCAGTGCCTGTGGAAACCAAAAGGGGGCGTGAGAGCCCCTAAAACTGTAGTTACAGACTGCCCTCATGTGGATGTTGGGGATTGAACCAGGGTTCTCCAAAAGAACAGCAAGGGCTCTTAGTCACTGAGCCATCTCTCCAGACCCTTTAAAATTTTTTAATTTACTTAGTTTATGTGTATGAGCATTTCTCCTGCATGCATGTAGGGGCACTGTATGCAAGCTTGGTACCCATGAAGGTCAGAAAAGGGCACTGGATCCTGCCGAACTGGAATTAGGGATGGTTGTGAGCCACCATGTGGGAGACAGGAACAAACACAGGTCCTCTGGAAGAGCAGCAAGTGCTCTTATGTAATAAGCCATCTTTCCAGCCCCCCTTTTAAATTCTTTTTTAAAAATTACATCATTCATTTTGTGTCTGCATGGGCATGTTTGGAGAGGGAGTTTGGAAGTCAGAGGACAACCTGCAGAAGTCTATTCTCTCCTACCAGGTGGGTTCTAGGGATGGAGTCAAGTCGTCAGGCTTGGCAACAAGTGCCTTTACTCACGAGTCACCTTCTCAGGCCCGCTGTGACACACACACACACACACACACACACACACACCATGCAGTAATTGTGTTCATCTGCCATTCTAACTTTGCCTCCCCATCTCCCTGGTGCTCCTCTGTCCCTAGTCTAGTAATCCTTTCACCTACTTTCAGGCTTTTCTTTTAAAATAAGAGTCAGTAAAAGCATGGCTTATGAGGCCAGCCACCTGCTTTTGTAAATAATTTTATTGAAACTAAGGTTTTTTTTGGATTTAGGTGAGGTGAGAAGGCAGGTCGGTGCAGGATGAGAGCTCATCTTGATTTAAGTCTGATATTTTTGCTCAGTATCTAATCATGGAAACTTTATGTCAAAATATGGCTTTCGCTTGTTGATTAGGTTTTCTGGTACCCCATTAAATCTGTTCCCAAGGCAACTGTCTCGTCCTTGTCCTGACTCCAGAAAAGAACACAGATCCCGAAACAGTTTCCTACGGCCAAATTCCAGCAGTGAGCCGTCAGCTACCAGCGGGACGCTGCGCGGGAAGTACTATTGGCCCGAAACCCGCACAGGTCTCTTCCAGACCAGTTCCAACTTCGTACTCCCCTCGCCCAGTGTTTACAGCGAATCACGCCCCACATCCTCCGGGCTAGGCTGGCCAAGGCCTCCTTATTGCCGGGGATGCTGTAAAACAGGAGCTTGCGCGGCAGGAAACGCGCCAAAGAGCAAGGCGGGCTGCCGTGACAAGCCGAGAACCCGGCTGAGCCGACAGCGGCTCGGGCCGCCGAACCAGGAACCTCAAGGTCCGAGCGCGGGAAGACGCCAGGAGGAGACCCGTGCGAGGCCCAGGCCCCGGCCCCCTTCCCCATTCCAGGGGTCTGGGAGCGGTGCACGCCGGGAATTGTAGTCCTTCGGGCTCGGCTCTCGGGCCCCGCTGGGTCCCCTGTCATACCTGGCCCTCAGCGAGCGCCCTTCACAGCCCCGACCGGAACCTAAACTCACCTCAGAATCCACTTCGCCGGTCATGATTCCGGCCTCCGTACCGCGCGGCTCCGGGAAAACCGGTCCTCAGTAACTTCAACTTGCCGGCGGCAGCTCCCGCCGTCTCCAGCCCAGCAGCGGTGTTCGAGCTTTCGCGCCTAGACGCACTACAGCTCCCACCCTCGGGGGTTTGCACCAATCCGAGGGAGGATTTCCTTCCGAAGCCCCACCCCCTACCGTCCTGCCAATCAGGAAGCGCCTCCAGCCGGCCCACCAAATGTAATTTGGGTTGATTTGGCGGGTCGCGGCTGCTGTTGTCAACCAGATCTAGAAGTGGCTTTGGGGTGGCTGGGGGTACCCGGTGCGAAGAGGTCCGACGCTATGGCTTGGAGAGAAGGTAGATTGCAAATGGTGTCCTTGGACTTTTGATCTTTGTGTTTCATGGGTCGTACCAAGCGCAATTTGAGGCGTGAAACTTCCAGGCAGGAAGTGAACTAGGGAGAAGTCCGTCCCTAGATATCCCCGGGGTGTCCCACACCTGATTTTTTTTTTTTTTTTTTTTTTTTTTTTTTTTTTTTTTTTTTTTTTTTTTTNAGCCTGTCCTGGAGCTAGCTCGGTAGACCAGGCTGGTCTCGAACTCACAGAGATCCGCCTGCCTCTGCCTCCCGAGTGCTGGGATTAAAGGCGTGCGCCACCGTCGCCCGGCTCCACACCTGAGTTTTTGATAAGGGAGCCTGAGATCCCATTGGAGGCTTTCTCCATCAGTTCATTCCTGGAGCAATCCTAACCTATAGAGTTGTGTTCTTGCCTCTGTTGTTCGATTCTTTGTCCTTTCTTTGCCCTGCTCTATGGGCAGTTAAGACTGACCTTTCTGGACTGCATAGTCCCAGCCTTTTGGGTTCTGTATGGTCAGGCTAGTGGTAAAACTACTTACAAGGCTTTTGTAAAGAGACCAGCTAACACAGGGAAATGAGAAAGCTGAGAGTTTATTACCGCCTCCCCTTCCCTCGCCCCCCCACCCCCACTGGTATGGCAACCAACTCGGCCCAGCTTGCTGAGGACTTTTCCAATTTAAGCACGGAAAGCCTCACATCCCTAGACCCTGCTCTTCCAGAGGACCCAGGTTTGATTCCTATCACCCACATGGCAGCTCGCAACTGTCTGTAACTCCAGTTCCAGGGGATGTGATATCCTTTTCTGGACTCCATGGGCAACAGACACAAACACAGAGCACAGACACACATTCAAGCAAAACACCCATGCACATCAAAATGAGTAAAAACTTATTTTTATCCATTAGTCTACTCTCCCAAGAAGTTAGGCACTTTGGATTTTGCTTCAGCACGCAGAATATTTCCAAGTCAGTTCTAGGCCAGCAGGATAGCCCAGCAGGAAAAGGCGCTTATTGCAGAGGCCGATGACCAGAGTTCTAGCCCTAGAACCCACAATGGAAGGAGAGACCTGACTCCCCAAAGTTACCATCTGATCTCCACATGGATGTTATGGCACATGTGTGTTCCGCTCACTCACATGCAGCATACACACAAAAAATAAAAAATTCTGAGAATACACATATACAAGAAAAACAGAACTTAACATGTTTAGGTCATTGTCAAGTGTTCTGTTACGATTTGTTCCATGGAAGATAAACAAAACAGATGCCAAAGATTAAGAAAAGTTTGAACGGTTGCCTAAATCCTATCTTTCAGTCTTTTGCATTTTGTTGCCGTTGGACAGGGGATCAAAGCCAGGACCTCACCATGCTAAATAAGTGTTCTCCCACCCTGATCATTCTCTTGGTCTTTTTTCTCTTCTTCTTATGAAAGATAGCCTATCATGTCGCAGTTTATTACAATTCTGTAGAGTTTGTGAACTGCTTTATTTTAAAGGCCTAGGCCTAGGGGGCCTCATTTCTGGAGAAGTGCTGCCACCAAGTGGTAGGTCTCAGACATGTGTCTCTGTCTCTGTTTTTCTCTGTCTCTCTCTGTCTCTGCCTCTCAAGTGCTGGGATTAAAGGTGTGTGCGGCCACTGCCCGGTTTACTTTTTTTTAATGTTAATTTAATCCCCCCCCCACTTTTGTTTTAATTGGGGGACTAGGTGGACGTGCCCTTGTGTGAGAGACTGACAACCATCTGCAGGGATCTATTTTCTCCTCCTAGCATGTGGGCTCTGGGATCCTCATCTCCTAAAACTGGAGTTCCAGGTAGTTGTAAATGCCCAGGTGTGGGCGAAGGAAGTGAGCTCTCTCGCTCTCCGCGCCGTCTTTCCGGCTCCCTGGCTCTATTTCTCATCTGCAGCCACTTAGAGGAGGCTTGGGTTGCGTGCGAGTAGGAGAGCCGCTGTAAGGTTTGTCAAAGAGTTATTTAAACTTGTCTGCGGTAGAATGACATATTTATATCATCCAGCAAAGGACTTGAGAGAAAAAAATTCATACTTCAATTTTAAACAGCTTTAAAGCTCTTGAGAATGTCCTTGTTAGAGGTTGCATCCGGCTTCCTTGCTTACCATACCTCCTAATCAAAAAGGAAAAAAAAAAAAAAAAGGTCATGCAAGAACTGAAGCATAATAGTTGCTTAATAGTTGACTGAATGATCAAAATGTCAGACTAAGAGCAGAAAATGACCGGGGCCTTTCTTCGAGGTGAGCCAGCATGCTTTCTGGGTAGAGGCTCCTGTGCCACAGTTTTGTCCAACCTCAAGAACCTATAAAGCAGTCACCTGTTCATTCAACAAACCCCAAGCTCCTTTTTAAGAAGCCTATGTTAGACACGAAGAATGCAAAGACACATAAAAGGCAGTGTGTTCTCAGAGAGCCTCCCACTGCTGTTGGAGACAGGCAAGCAAGCAAGTATATGCAATATGTAAATGTGCGCAAGAGATTGTGGGGAACTAGGGGGGGGGGAGAGACAGCTATAGCTGGTGGCTTAGGATGGCTGGGGCAAGGCAGGGGAAATGACTCACCAACTGCATTTCAAAGACGAGTTAGTTCCCCAGGCTGGCGCAAAGAGGAGACAGCATTCCGTGTTCGTACACGGGCTGGATAAAGCATGTTGTGTTCAAGGAACTGAAAGTAGGTCACTAGGGCTCAAGCACAGGGTGTATGGAGGGTGGGAGGAGGGGTCAAAACTTCTGGAATGTTCTACTCAGAATTTAAACAGAATGAACTGGGCAGTTGAGGAGTGGAGGTGGAAGTCGTTAAGGAGAGTGGTACAGTCAAATATGTGCCTGAGACAGATAACCCCAGCAGTGTGTGGGAAATGAATTAAAAGGGGATTATACTGGCAGCAGAAAGACCTGTTGTCTCCGGGAGATACGGGAACTTGATTTAGGTCAATGGTAGTAACAATGAAAGAGAAGGATGGATTGGAAAAAAAGAGACAAAATTAATAGTGCTTGGTCGATGATTAACCTTGAGGGTGAGGGAGAGTCAGGGTGACCCCAGTGATGTCCACATTTCCGGGTTGGTGGTGACGGGGCCGTGATACTCTCCATTGAAACTAAGAATGCATGTCACTAATTAAAAATTCACCCATCTCTCAGGAGGTGTGGGGAAGGAGGATTTTAAGCTTGCGGCCAGGGGAAGGAGGAGAAAGGGACAGACAGAGAGAACAAAGAAAAGGGGGATTTGAAATGTAGCTCAGTTGCTGAGTTACTTGCCTAGTGAACCCGAGGCCCTGGATCCCATCCTTAGCGACACAATAACTGGGCGTGGTGGCACACTTGCTATCCCAGCATTAAGAAGAAGCTCTGCTTAGCAGTTTTTTTTTGTGTTCTACTCACATAGTGTCTTCACTACTCCATTTCTTTCCTGGTTCCCTACCCAAGAAAATACATAGAGCAGAAATTTCTCCGTCCTGGCTGGATTCAATTTTCTCGGGTGTTTTTAGGTCAGTGCAAAGAAAATGTATTGAGACATTAGTAACCCCAGCACTTGATCAATCAAATGTATCAGCCTGGGCTTGAGAGATGGCTTAGCAGCTAAGAGCACTCTCTGCTCTTATAGAAGACCAGAAATCTGTTCCCAACACCCACATCAGGTGGCTCACAACTGCCTATAACTCCAGCTTTAGGTGATCTGACATCCTCTTTTGTCTTCCATTGGCCCCTGTACACACATGTGCATACTCACATATGTAAATAAACTACAGCTTTTAAATGTCTATGTATATATAGACAGGACATATATTCTGTATATATTCCCATATATCATTATAGAATAGCTAATCATATATATGTATACTTTGGTCATATAAACCTCAATCAATGTAGGGACTATTATCTAGGTATCTTATCTATGTGTGCTTGAGGGAAAGGATTCTGCCACAGAATGACAAAGGGTTGCTGGTCTGTTGCTACAGCCTGTTTAATCCCAGTACCTGCTCTATTGATTGATTAAGGCCCAGCCCCTTTCAGACATGTCAGCTAACTAAAGTGTACTGAGAAAGACAGAGCCTCACAAGAATATGGCAATTCCTTTGCTTACAATATAGTTGGAGTGTTTTCATAAAACAAGAGGTGGTACTGGACAGAATAGAACACTGTGCCCACCATAGGCCCAAAGGATGGCACCAACCAGAGATCTCTCATGGCTTTCTTCATGACTCAGACTTGATTGGCATTTGGTGGGTGAGGCCAAGTTTGTTAAATGTCAATGAGAAACGCTCAGATAGGTAGAGCGGAAGAGGAGGGGAATATTTTAGGCAGGGGAAACAGGATGAGCAAAGGTGTGGAGGTAGGAAGGACACAAAGGTTTGAGAAGAGTGGGTGACTATGACAGAAAAAGAGACAGCGAGTGAATAAGACAGAAAGGTTAAACCCAACTCTCTAAGAATCCACAGTGTTATCTGAGCCTGAATATCCACTAACTTGTGTCACCTTTCTTTGGGGATAAATTATACACACAAAGCAGCGGATTAGGGAACATTTGGTGGCTGAGGATGATTCTTTTGGGTCATCCAGACCCAGTGGGCCTCCAGGTGAATGAACCATTTAAGTGAGCAAAGGAAAACCAGGGGCCTGGCCAGCTGAGTCCAGTCAGGTTACAAAATTGTGGACGAACAAACGGCTGTTGTTTGCTATAAAGTCTCTGCTCTTACAGAGATTACATTTTTGTAGCTGACAATAAATAGACAAATAAATTAATAAGTAAATAAATA